ATCAAATTTATACTAGGAGTAAAAGTCTCAGATTCTCAAAGTTTTCAGGAATTTGACTAAAATAGCTATGCAGAAGCAAAAAAAAAAAAAAAAAAAAATTAGCCTGTTCCATGTCCTCCATGAGAAAACAATATAATTTTTTTCTCTGTCATTTAGCAAGTCTCCTCCAGTTTGAAATAAGATGTTCTAGAAACAACATTTCAGTTGTCCTTTTCTGAAATAATACAACCAAATAATTCTAAATACATTTTGATATAAAACGTGACAATATTCTTTTTTCCATATACACAAATAATAGGAAATATTATTTAAAGACAGAAGCAAGGTAGCTGATTAATAGCATAATCAATGTTCATGTTCGATCATTCCACATTATGTTTTTAATGATGATTTTTTATTATGCCTTTTCTCATCTTACCGCCAGTATGCTTTGTGATAATTTTTTATTTTATTATTTTCATAGATAGGTATTTTGTGATGTATGTATTGTTTTGTGTATTTTGTGTAAAATCCCCAAATAACTGCTGATCTGGCCTCTGAAATTTAGTCTTTAAAGGTCTTATTGCATCTTTGCCAGGCATAACCAGGCACAAATTTAACAGCCTCTACTGCCTAAATCCACTCTAATTGAAAAGCAACAGTATGGTGAATTAGGCCACAAGTTTTAGGACAATTTGCAAAGAGAACTTTTGAAATTGTGGTTAAATTTGAACTATTGCAATGACATTTTGGGGGTCTGCAAATGGCCTCAAATAATTACTGTTCTGAGTCCACAAATGTACCTTAGAAATAATGTACTTAAACCCATTGTACGAGCCCCTGAAGCTTTCCTCTCTGGGTATCTAGAGACCCCTTCCAGGAGAGCTTGACCCCATCTCTTCCTTCAGTCCACGCGGAGCGCATGATGTGGAGTTTGGCAGCAACTGTCTCGGTTCCTCTCAACAGCCCTATTGAAGCAGAATACTTCACTGCTTTTCTAATTCTTTCTTACCACTGTCTTGCTGAGATGAGACTTTTATTCCGCTATGTGGTTGCTTTATTATTGTATCCATGACTCTAGCTGGTTGAATTGCTTTGCAGAGGGCCATATTCCTGAAATCCCAGTTGAGAAAATTGTTCAAGCATTGGACAAGGTGAAAAGAGAGACAGCAGTTTCCATTTTCCCAGTTGCCAACAAATCCTTCCAATCAGACTATGTCTTCATGCTAGCAGCACTAAATATACCCATGTGTGATCTGAATTGCACTTTTTCTCTCCTCTCCTTTTCTTACTTCCAAATCTGAGACCCTTCAGAGCAAGAACATTGTTCTACTTCTACTGAAGTTTTGTAGCGTCTGATCACATCAATGTTTTCATCAAGCATGATGCAATTTTTGAGTCCTCCACGGCAGGTGCAGTAGTTGATAGAGAAGTGCAGCACTCACTGTTTGTGAGAGAAGCCAGCAGGCTCTGCCAGGTCATTGTTAGTGTCAGAACTTCCTGGAGTCATCCATGATTAGAATATTCCTCGGAATTTTCTCAGAGAGATTATTTACTACTGTGAATATTTTCTGAGTAATCTACATGTATTTTTGTTTCCCCTGCCATTCAGAGCCTTTCATGGGTATTATCCAGTAGTTGAGTACTCGGCTATGACAGCAGACAAACTTTCTTATAAGCTATGCACCAAGCAAGAAGAAAGGAAAAACTAACAAATGGTCTCTACAGATACTCTTAAGGAACGTCTTTCTTTTCTGGCTCATGTAACAACAATATATGAGTATACCCTCTGGTAAGGCATATGAAGGGACCACATATCCTGAAACACACTGATTACTGGTAATCTGTTTTTCTAGAAATGAGTGAGCTGACGCATTCATCTCAGATGTGTGTTAGCAAAGCAGCATTGAATACATTGCCACTAAATTAACTTCTTCCTCTCTTGCTTTTTTTTTTTATTTCACAAAGGCTTCATTGCATACCTCATACATTCTGCTTTTCATGACCCTCACCTGTCTACACTTTATCCAGTAAAGAAAGACCTCACATTTCTAGCAGCTTTTATTTTTGGTTGAAAAAATATCAATACAAAAATCAACAGCAAAGGAGGAACTGAAACTTTTATACCATTGTGGCTGTATTGAAACAAACATTGTAGTAGCTACTAATACTGATTTAATTAATCCTGCTTATATGCTACTAGGAAGGAGCTTGTGTTTCAATATGTTTGAAAGTGATACAGCACTTCTCCCAGACTGTCATTGAATTTTTTCAAGACATTTGCCTTTGCAATGGAAAATACTTTGATTTGGAAAACTGAAATATATGGCAAATGTTAAACGGATGAAAAGCTGTCTCACTGACAAATTGAAAAATGTGGTCTTAATGGACAGATATAAATGACTGGGATGTGTCTAGCAGGGTCTGCCTGGAATCAGTTCTTGGGTCAATAGCGCTTAACATTTCTATCAACAGTCTAGACAGTGATATAAGACATCTTCAATAAAGCTTGACCATGACAGAGATTGTTGAGGTAGTAAATAATATGCCAGATAATTGCAGAAGCAGCTAATAAAATTTATTTTAGTATTGTCAAACACCAGCCCCTTGTGTGGGATAGGAAGCTATATGTAGTTGTAAAGCTGTGATTTAGAAAAGGGCAGGTTATCAAAGATAATTGGGTCTATTTAAGCTCTTTGTGCAATGTTGTGGAAGGAAAAAACACTAATGCAATAATGTGTGTATCAAAGTCAGACTGTCAAGTGGAATGAGATCATGATTGTCTCTGCATGCTGTATTGATAGGACTGCTCCTAGAGTGACAAGTCAAATTTTGGTGTCCAGTCATAAGGAAATACAAAAAACAGAAGACATAGGGATGCACAGGACCTGGAAATCAGCTTTTAAATCCCATGTAGCTTTAAGAAGTTCAGTTTAGTTTATCATTATATATGGGTAATTTAGGCATTAAAAATTTGTGTGTAGGTGTGGGAAAAGGAACACTTTCATAATCATTGATAAAGGCACAGCAAAATTCAGTGACTGGAAAATTAAATTAAGAGGAAAATGCAGCCTTGAATTAACTTGCAATTTGGCTTTGAGGATTACTAAATAGTGGAACAGCTGATGTGGGGAGGTGATAGACTCACCAGTGCTAAACATCTTACAAAAAAAAAAAAAAAAAAAAGAGGGAAAGACAGAGTACTCTCGCTAAAAGATGCACTGTAATTCAGCTACTGCACGTTGGAGGTGAATAGCTAGTTGGGATAGCAAGCAGAGTGGTTCTGGCTGTTCGTGGGACCTTTTAATTTTATTATTTCCTTTTTACAGTTCATGTGCTGTGAGGAGAATGGCCATACATGTCCTGTCCTCAGTCTAAAACATACCTAATTTAAGCAGCTGCCTAAAGGAGTCATAAAGAAATTACTTCCCCTGTTGTACACAGGACCACATACTTTGCTTGTTCTTTGCTGTCTTCTGATCCAGAAACTCAGATCCAAGAAGGATTAATCCAGTCGTCTGTGCTCTAAAGGGATTCTCTTTCATAGGTGGTCCCTGAGTATGACTCCTGTGGTCACCCTTGTAGTGATCATGGGTTTTAAGGTAGGAAGGAACTTTGCACAGTCTTGAGGAGTGAACAGGAGTAGTCCAGCTGAAGAGCTCTTCAGGCTAAGAACTCTTTCTTGCCTGAACTACCACAAAACTATGAAACCAGACGGAAAATTATATATATGGAAAAAATAGAAATTAGATGGAAAAATAGATGGAAAAATTTGAAAAGCTTTCAAAGAAGCTTCTTTTAGATCTGAAATAGAAACACAGCCTTTAAAGCAAAATATAGGTTGAGAGCAATTACTGTCAGCCTAATTGGATATGTTAATAAGTTAGATCAGCTGAGGGAAGAGGTAGTAGACTGAGGAAAGTGTGAGATAAAAAGGCTATTATCACCATGGGAAAGGGGGGAACAAGTAATCTATTGCTTGTTGGATATGGTGGTATGAGCTGAGGTAGGGGTTATGGAAGAAGGAGGTTGTCCTATGTGGTAGAACTGTTATTTTGTAGCGTTTACTGGAATTACAGACTTGGTAGGGCTTGGTAGGCTCCTTTTCAGAAGGTACCCTTTGCTGAGTATCTCTAAGAGGTTGGAGAAATAATTTTAAAATTGTCCCACTGATGCCTATTTATTTCTGTCTTTAATAATTTGTCAGTGTGAATTCATTCTGATATTTAATGGTTGTTTAATTTCATTCATGTAGTTTACAAAGTACTTGCATCAGATGAAACATATTGTGCTCTCAGAAAAGAATGGACAGGGCATACAGATCTTGGTGATACTTGTCAGAAGACATGTATTATGGGGCTTGAGAATATTGACAATTCTGCATTTGTTTCTTAGGTGTGGTCTGTTCCTTTTCGTGCATGGGGAATTTTCTTCTCATGATAGGTTTAGCATTGCTGGAGCTATGGGTAACATGCACATCAGGGAGCTAGATTCTGTAATAGAAAACATTTTTTTATCCATTGTCTCCTTGCAATACATAAGCAGTATACAAAATGGACAGTGGTTCACTTATTCGTGTTCCATTAGATTTTACCAGGGAATTATTTGCTGGTTTGTGTCTTGTACTGGCAGTTTATTGGATTTCCTCTTAGTTAAAAGCTCTAACATATTTAGCTACACCTTATTCGGCGCTATTAATTTATAAAGGATGTACTTTATTGTGGTACTTATAGTGTTTGACTTACTATTTTTATGGATGTAATAGATGTAATTTGTACTGGTATATTATTGCTTTTAGCGGTGTGATACTATGCGTACCTAGAAGCAGAAAAATCATTTTCAGTTTGAGATTGGAATTAAAAGCTTATTGATGATCACTGCTATTGGAAATGCCGAAAAAAGTATCAGAGGCTTTTTTATTGGGTGGCCTTTTGTCTCTTTTGAGGGTTTGTGTTTGTTTTATTTTGTTTTGTTTTAAATAATATTTAATTCTTGTATTCATTATGACCATTTTCTTTCAGGAATATCAGCCTTGTAACACCAATGCCTGTCCAGAGTTAAAAAAGACAACTCCTTGGACGCCTTGGACCCCAGTCAATATTTCAGACAATGGTGGCCACTATGAACAACGTTTCCGATACACCTGCAAAGCACGCTTGCCTGACCCAAATTTGCTAGAGGTGGGAAGGCAAAGGATTGAAATGCGTTATTGTTCCAGCGATGGCACCAGTGGATGCTCGACAGATGGTAAGCAAAGCTAGAGTGGCTGCACGACGCCTCCTGCTAGCGAGGTGTCTGCAGTTCCATTTTCAGCACAGAGGAGAAGTTTTTGCTTGCTGGTGTTTTGCATAACAGAACTGCTAATGAAAAGGAGGACATAGTGATCACAACAGGGAATCTAGCTTGTATTTTTTCTGGATATAACATCATTATTCAGAGTAATCAATTGTCTTTTACCATTGATTATGAGATTTGTCAGGTTATTTTGATATTCTTTACAATAATCTGCAAGCCATAATAAAGCAGTCCAGTTCTTGGAGGATTCTGTCACCTCCTTATACTCTCTCAGATTTTTACTGGGAGAGAGTTTGTGCAACATTAATGTATTTGGTAAATATTTAGCTAGAATATGTAGTATTGATGCTGAGAATAACTTTTTGCGCAGTAATTCTAAAGTAACAACTGTGACATTCATGCAGGTGTTTAACTAAATAAGGAGTTTATGAACTGGATAATTTCCGTTATAAAAGTTTATGTTATGCTATTGATAGTGATTTAAAGTTCTGATTATTTCTGAGATGGAAAATGGAACTCCTTCCACATCTTTTCAATTTCAGATGACTTTAAATTGGAATTATTTTATTTCAGAATTTTGTTATTTCCCTATCGGTATTACATCATTTTGAATCAATATTATGTGTATATACTAGAACTAGCTCTGCTAGGTTTAGTGTATGACCTACCTTTCTTGTCCTAAATCAGACTCTTGGGTGGTGGTGCAGCTTTTTGTTGTCTTCCAGCACTTTGACATTTATGACACTTTTTAAAAATTTTATGACTTTAAGTGAGAAAGAGAATATTTTTCCCACCAGATAGTAAAGAATTAGGAGAGTCATCACAACAACTAGTAGATCTACAGAAGAATCTAGGTATATGCTCTGTTGGAGTTCACAGTCCTGAGAGAAATGGGTCAGGTGAGGAGTAAAGTCAGGACCCTGAACTTCAAGGAAAAGCGAACTTCCAGCTCTTCAAGGAGTTAGTCAATAGGACCCACTGGGAAACTGCCCTCAGGGACAAGGGAGCAGAACAGAACTGGCAGATCACAAGGACACTTTCCATAGAACACAAGACCTCTTGATCCCCAGGTGTAAGAAATCAGGAAAGGAAGGCAAGAGACCATCATGGCTGAGTCAAGACCTGCGGGTCAAAGTAAAGGGCAAGAAGGAAATGCACAGGCAGTGGAAGCAGGGACAGGTATCCTGAAAGGAGTATAGAGACACTGCCTGGTTGTAGAGGGATAGCATCAGGGAAGGACAAGGCTCAGCTGGAGCTGAACTTGGCAAGGGTGTCAAAGAATAGTAAGAAGGTCTTCTACAGGTATGTCAGCCAGAAAAGGAAAGTCAAAGAAAGCATATTCCCTTGATGAGCAAGACTGGAAAGCTGGTAACAACAGATGAGAAGGCTGAGGTACTCAGCAATTTTTTTGCCTCACTCTTTGCTGGCAAGCTCTCTTCCCACACCTCTTGAGTGGATTGACTGCAAGATGGGGACTTGGGGAGCAAAATCCCTCCCTCTGTAAGAGAAGATGAGGTTCATGGCCATCTGAGGAACATGAACATATCTAAGTGTATGGGACCTGATGAGATGAATCCCTGAGTCCTGAGGGAATTGCCTGATGTAGTTGCCAAGCCACTCTCCATGTTATTTAAAAAAAGTCATGGTAGTCAGGGGAAGTCTCTGGTGACTGGAAAAAGGGAAACATTGCACCCATTTTTTGAAAGAGTAGAAAGGAGGACTCTGGGAACTACCGACCTGTCAGCTTCACCTCTGTGCCTGGAATGATTATGGAACAGATCCTCTTAGAAGCTATGCCAAAGCACAAGAAGGTTATTCAAGCCAGCCAGTATGGCTTCACCAAGGGCAAGTCCTGCTTGGCCAACGTAGTGACCTTCTATGATGGAGTGGCTACATCAGTGGACAAGGGAAGAGCTATGGATGTCATCTATCTGGATTTCTGTAAGGCCTTTGACATGGTCTCCCACAACATTCTTCTCTCTGAATTGGAGAGGTATGGATTTGATGGGTGGACTGTTTGGTGGCTGAGGAATTGGTTGGATGGTTGCATCCAGAGGGTAGTGGGTAATGGCTAAATGTCCAGATGGAGATCAGTGATGAGTGGTGTCCCTCAGGGTTCCATACTGGGAGCAGTACTGTTTAATATCTTCATCGATTACATGGACAGTGGGATTGAGAGCACCCTCAGCAAGTTTGCAGAGAAGACACCTGAAGGATGGCACGCCATCTGGAGGCACCTGGACAAACTTGAGAAGTGGGCCCATGTGAACCTCATGAGGTTCAACAGGGCCAAGAACATGGTCCTGCACTTGGGTCAGGGCAACCCCCAGTATCAATACAGGCTGGGGATGAAGGCAATGAGAGCAGCCCTGAGGAGAAGGACTTGGGAGTACTAGTGGATGAAAAGCTGGGCAATGTTCACTTGCAGCCCAGAAGGCCAACCATATCCTAGGTTGCATCAAAAGCAGGTGATTCTGCCCCTCTACTCTGCTCTGGTGAGACCCCACCTGGAGTACTGTGTTCAGCTCTGGAACCCTCAGCACAGGAAAGACATGGACCAGTTGGAGCCACAAAAATGATCAGAGGGCTGGAACACCTCTCCTCTGAAGAAAGGCTGAGAGGATTTGGGTTGTTCAGCCTTGAGAAGATAAGGTTCTGGGGAGGCCTTATTGCAGCCTTTAAATACTTAAAAGGGGCTTATAAGAAAGATGGGGACAGGCTTTTTATCAGGGCCTGTAGCAATAGGACAAGGGGTAATGGTTTTAAACTAAAAGAGTGTAGATTTAGACTAGATATAAGGAAGAATATTTTTTATGATGAGGGTCGTGAAATACTGGAACAGGTTGCCCAAAGAGGTGGTAGAAGCCCCATCCTTGGAAACACTCAAGGTCAGGCTTGACAGGGCTCTGAACAACCTGGTCTAGTTGAAGATGTCCCTACTTACTGCAGGGGGGTTGGACTAGATGACCTTTAAAGGTCCTTTCTAACACAAACTATTCTATAATTCTATATTCTTGTCTAAGAGCTGACATGTCAGCTTTTAAGAATGGAGTGTACAAAAGCCAAGACACTACTTAGGGAACAGGTTAATAGGGCAAACCAGTGCAAGAGCCAATGTGTCCTTGATCATATTGCTGCAAGAAAATTAAGCATGGACACACCTCTCTCAGCTCTAAATTCATGATCATAAGTCATCTTTTGGAGTTGGATGCATAAGCTGACTCTTCTTAGAGAATACAGTCAGAAGTAACAGTGCCTACATTTTATTAAATAAAGCATTCAGGAAGAGTGTGAGAGACAAGGGTGTGGGTTTGGGTGCATTCTTTGCCTGATTAGCTTGAAGATTTTTCTTTCACTTCTGAACATCAAATCCCTCAATTTCCTGGTGTTGTAGCTAATTTGTTTCATCTTGCTGAGGCTGCCTATTTGATTAATTTTGAAATAATTAATCATTAGATCAATGTATAGGAGTGACCCTATTGCATAGTAATTGAAATGTTCATCTGGGAGAAGGATTTTTGCTGACTAATTCTGAAACTACTGAATATTTAAGTACTTATATTGAGTACTCAACAGGGCAGAAACTATTATACATCTGTCCATTCTTCCTAGTGAGTGCCTCCATAACTTTGTCATTAATTCATTCTCATTCTTTTACTCTTTTTGGTCAGTGAGTCTTTAATTATTCTGTAATGAAAGATCAAACCCAACCAGTGTTCCAAGTGGCTGATTTACCAATATGCTTCTGGCAAAAAGAGTTACTGTTATGTCTCCTTTAACCACATTTTTTTTTTTTTGCGCCTGTTTGCTTAGGCATTTTCCTATTATGGGTGTCAGAACAGTATGGAGTGGAATATTTGTCAGGGGATTGGCAGTATTTTGATTTACTGATGTGATGAAACTTACTGACAGCCTCTAAACTGCAGGATCCAGGAGCACTTTCTTGCTCACAGCTTTAGGCTTGGGTCAACACACCACCCCTCTGCTGCTCCTTGATTTAGTGGGAAGAAAATACATGAATAAGAGTCATGTAATATAGATGTGACTTTTGGAACTGAAGGATCTCATGAGAATGGAAATGGTGAATTTTGGCAGACACCTTCACAATTTCTGGCTAAGTAGCAAGGAAACATCATAACTTACTTCCACCTGGCCAGAGCCTGGATACAGTAAAACATTCTTTTCATTATCTTCATGTTGAACTATAGCAATTTGCTGGCTTTTATAGAAAGATTAATACTGGTACAGCATGCTTGGCATACCTCATTACCAAAGAAGTGTTCTGCAAAGATCAGTTCTATGTTCTTTGCAGAAGAGAGCCATTTGTTAGAAATTTTCTCATTGCCTATAATCTCCCACTGCACAACTATAGTCATGCCGTGTTAAACAGAATCATGTTTCACTGTCAGACTCTAGCAAAGCAAACTTTCTTTGCAGTGTGAGCTTAGAGGTAGAACTTCGTCCCAGGAAACCACTAGACTCCTCCTGAGTATGGTAAGACTTCTATTTCAATCAACCAAACAGTGGCATTTGCACACTGTATTCATGCTTTTCTGATTTTAAATTGGATTAAGAGGAAAGAAAAATACATTTTGTTCTCTGCCTCTGAGTTTCATATAGTGCTCAGATACAGAAGGGACAGCTACTTCAAATAAACTGAGAGAGATTGTGTATGTTGTTGCACATCTTAATGCAAATGTTTGTACAGTCCAGCAAGAAAAGTCTAGAAATTACATCACTGTAGGCTTTTAATGTGTTTTAATGAAGCATATTAAACATCTATGTTAAACATACTAATTGAGCATCTAGAATTATCTGTTATATAAGCACAATGGATTGTGTTGGAAACATAAACATTTAATCCAGGGATAAATTGTGTGAGGTTACTGATTTTTCCAGGTTGGATTTACCTCACCTAGCTCTAGACTCCATTATAGTCAGCAAAGACAGCT